AACTCAAAGCTTCAACTTATTCATAACTTGTCAGTTCCATGTCAAATTTTTAGAAGACAGTGGCTGCTTCACCTGAAAATAGCCCTATTTGAACAGAGGTTCTATGCCAAACCAATTCATAAGGCCTTAAACCCATCTAAGAATTGATTGCTTTGCTGTTACATGCTGAATTGGGAGAACTGGGGGATGAACAATTGATTAGTGAAGGATAGAAGGGGTCATATGATATAGAAGGTGACTGCATCTCAGGAGGAGTTATAGGCCTTCTGGTTTCCCCAAAAGAGGCCATGTGCAAGCCATACCTTGTTTAAATTATATCTAATCTATCCAACATAGCCAAAAAGGAATGTATCAATTTTCTCCCCTCCATTCATCATTATTTTTTTATTTCTGGTTGCTTTCAAACTTGGCACAAAATGGGGAAATTACTTGTTTGGAGGATCTAAGAAAGGAATAAAAAATAGATTCCAAAGCCCAGTCTTTTCTTCCCATATTATGTTGTTTCTTGTTTTAAAAGTGTACCCTATTTCTTTCCTTTCTAATCTCTATAAACCATGGCTCCAACTTTGAGTGATCTAATGCTATCTCAATAACATGTTTCTGAATTCAAAAATACATCAAGAGGATCATACACCATGATCAAGTGGGATTCATCTCAGGGATGCAAGGATGGTACAACATTCGAAAATCCATCAACATCATCCACCACATAAACAAAAAGAAGGACATTAAGCACATGAACATCTCCATAGATACTGGAAGAGCATTTGACAAAAATTCAACATACATTCATGATAAAAACTCTCAACAAAATGGGTATAGAGGGCAAGTACCTCAACATAATAAAGGCTATATATGACAAACCCACAGCCAACATCACAGTTAATAGCGAGAAGCTGAAAGCTTTTCACCTAAGATTGGGAAAAAGACAGGGATGCCCACTTTCCCCACTGTTATTCAACATAGTACTGGAGGTCCTAGCCACAGCAATTAGGCAAAACAAAGAAATACAAGGCATCCAAATTGGTAAAGAAGGAGTCAAACTGTCACTATTTGCAGATGACATGATATTGTACATTAAAAACCCTAAAGACTCCACTCCAAAACTACTAGAACTAATATCTGAATTCAGCAAAGTTGTGGATAAAAAATTAATACACAGAAATCTGTTGCTTTCCTATGCACTAATGATGAACTATCAGAAAGAGAAATCAGGAAAACAATTCCATTCACAATTACATCAAAAAGAATGAAATACCTAGGAATAAACCTAACCAAAGAAGTGAAAGACTCATCACCTGAAAACTACAAAACACTCTTGAGAGAAATTAAAGAGGACACTAACAAATGGAAACTCATCCCATGCTCTTGGCTAGGAAGAATTAATATTGTCAAAATGGCCATCCTGCATAAAGCAATCTACAGATTCAATGCAATCCTGTCAAAATACCAACAGCATTCTTCAGTGAATTGGAACAAATAGTTCTAAAATTCATACGGAACCACAAAAGATCCTGAATAGTCAAATCAATCCTGAGAAGGAAGAATAAAGTAGGGGGATCTCATTTCCCAACTTCAAGCTCTACTACAAAGCTATAGTAATCAAGACAATTTGGTACTGGCACAAGAACAGATCCACAGACCAGTGGAACAGAATAGAGAGTCCAGATGTTAACCCAAACATATATGGTCAATTAAATATACAATAAAGGAGCCTTGGATATACAATGGTGAAATGACAGCCTCTTCAACAGCTGGTGTTGGCAAAACTGGACAGCTACATGTAAGAGAGTGAAACTGGATCATTGTCTAGCCCCATATATGAAAGTAAATTAGAAATAGATCAAAGACCTGAATGTAAGTCAGGAAACCATAAAACTCTTAGAAAAAAACATAGGCAAAAATCTCTTGGACATAAACATGAGCAACTTTTTCATGAACATATCTCCCCAGGCAAGGGAAACAAAGGCAAAAATGAACAAGTGGGACTATATCAAGCTGAAAACCTTCTGAACAGCAAAGATACCATCAGTAGAACAAAAAGATATCCTACAGTATGGGAGAATATATTCATAAATGACATATCTGATAATGGGTTAATATCCAAAATATATAAAGAGCTCATGCACCTCAACAAACAAAAAGCAAATAATCCAATTAAAAAATGGGCACAGGATCTGAACAGACATGTCTCCAAAGAAGAAATTCAGATGGCCAACAGGCACATGAAAAGATGCTCCACATTGCTAATCATCAGAGACATGCAAATAAAGAGCAAAATGAGATATCATCTCACACCAGTAAGGATGGCCACCATCCAAAAGACAAACAACAACAAATGTTGGTGAGGATGTGGAGAAAGGGGAACCCTCCTACACTGCTGGTGGGAATGTAAATTAGTTCAGCCATGTGGAAAGCAGTAGGGAGGTTTCTCAAAAAACTAAAAATAGAAATATCATTTGACCCAGGAATTCCACTCCTAGGAATTTACCCTAAGAATGCAGCAGCCCAGTTTGAAATAGACATACGCACTCCTATGTTTATCGCAGCACTATTTACAATAGCCAAGAAATGGAAGCAACCTAAGTGTCCATCAGTAGATGAATGTAAAGAAGATGTGGTACATATACACAATGGAATATTATTCAGCCATAAAAAGAAAACAAATCCTACCATTTGCAACAACATGGATGGAGCTAGAGGGTATTATGCTCAGTGAAATAAGCCAGGCAGAGAAAGACAAGTACCAAATGATTTCACTCATATGTGGAGTATAAGAACAAAGAAAAAAAATGAAGGAACAAAACAACAGCAGAATCACAGAACCCATGAATGGTCTAACAGTTACCAAAGGGAAAGGGACTGTGGAGGATGGGTGGGAAGGGATGGACAAGGGTGGAAAAGGGGCATTACGATTAGCTGACTAATGTAGCAGGGGGCATGGGAGGGCTGTACAACACAGGGAAGACAAGTAGTGATTCTATAGCATCTTACTACGCTGATGGACAGTGACTGTAATGGGGTATGTGGTGGGGACTTGATGGTGGGGGGAGTCCAGTCACCAAATGTTGCTCAGGCAATTGAAGATTAATGACACCAAAAGAAGAAAAAAAAAGAAAAAAGAACCTGTTTCTGGTTTATATAACACTTGGCCCATATGTGTACAATTTATTTTTAGCTCCTTTAGACTTCCTTTGAACTCCTTTTACTTCCTTAGATTCTTAACGTTTTACTTCCTTTAATCTCAGGACTCATGTTACTTCCCCTTCCTATATTCTTCTGTCTTCTATAGCTTAGGCACCCTCCGTGGTGCTTCTCAGTGCCTTTGGGCTTTACTGCCATGGATTTCCCTGGAAATCCTTTCCTTCCCCTTCTTCCTTGCCTCTTTATCATTGTGCTTTTGAAGTTTTCTCCTCAAAGCAAGGGTATATCTGCTGGAGTAAGTAATCTTGGTACTCTTTCCTCAACAAAGACTCATCTTGGCAATCACTGCCCTTTTTTCATTTATTTTTATCTCCACCATTTCCTAAAATTCATCTTCTTGTTTTTATCATCTCTTCTATTGCCTTCTTTATCTCCCTGTTCTCCTACAGAATCAGTTAATTCCAGTACTTTGCTTGTCGTTTGTTCTCAGTAAGTGCACTTGACAGCTTAGTCAATATTCTCCCACTTCAGATTCTGCTAAATTCAAACTAGCTTAATGCTCAGACAAAATGTTTTTAGTCAATCCCTAAAAATATATTCCCTTTTGGAAGTGGTCCCGTTTAGTCAGATTATCAAGAACCCAATTAGGCGGGTGCAGGGGGGAACATGTTTGAGGTTGACCCTGTAGGGGCTGAAACCAACTCTACAGCTTGGATGGGATCACTTCAGGAAGAGGCCCTTAGTACAACAGTGGCCAGAAAGCAGGTGATGGTGTCCATTTAATTGACAAGGTGAGTTTGGGGCGAAGTATAGTCCCAAGCTGCAAATCAGGCTTTTGTTGGTTGGGCAGGGGGAAAGCATGCTCAATGGACAGCACTTTGGGTGAGTCTGAGGGAGAAACTCTGCCTCAGTGCTCAGCTGGTCAAGAAACTCCTTTTAGTCAATTCTTCAGTGTCAGGGTCCACAGTAAGAACAATGACCTAAGGATAAGATTTCCTCTTCCTAAATGGAAAAAACCCTCCCAGGCCCAGTGAGTGTAGCCTTGCCAAGATCTTAAGTTTCTACCTCACCAGTCTTTTAATACTGGGGCCTCAATTCCCCTGCCTCTGGGCTATGATACATGTCCCCAATACTTCTAGTGGCCCCTAGAGAGCTCAGGACTCCAGGCCTCCTCCCATCTGGCCACATCTGAATTTCTAACCATGTTTCCTCACAAAGCAACATGGAACTTTCTCTTTGCAACAAGACCCTTGGCCATTATTGTCTTACTTTCTCAACTCTGGCCATCCAAAATAATTTCTAAAGTTTTTTTTAGCTTGTTAAGCATGTACTATATGTTAAGCACTATAGTAAATACTTCAGAAACATCTTTTCATAACAACCTCCTGAGATAGTACACTACTTTTCTATTACTGATAATTCTATAACATATTACCACAAATTTCATAGCTTAAAGCAACACTGATTTATTTTCTCACCGTTTCTGTGGGTCAGAATCCCAGGTATGGATTACCTGGTCCTCAGGGTCTCATAGACTGAAACCAAGGTGTTGGCTGGGACTGCAATCCTATCTGAGGCTCAGGTCCTCTCCCAAGTTGACTGGTTGTTGGCAGAGTTCAATTCCTTGCAGCAAGATGACCAATGTCCAAATTTTCTTGCTAGCTCTCAGCCAGGGATGACTTCCAACTCCAAGAGGGACACCCTCTGGTTCTTGCCCCTTGGCTCCTTCTCTCACAGGCTGTTTGATTCCTTCTGCTGCAGTAGGAGAATGTCTGTGAGGCTTTACCTTCTTCTAAACGCTTACCTGATCAAGTCAGACTCACCCTGAATTCTCTCTCTTTTTAATTAACTCCTAGGCAATTGATGAATAACCTAATTGCAGGATTGACATCCTATCATATTCACTGGCAGCACCCAACACTCAGGGGAAGACGCATGCATACTGCACAGCAGACACCTTGAGACCATCTTGGAATTCTGTCCACCACGTGGAGGTACCACTGTGAGCCCTGTCGTACAGAAGTGAAGCACAGTCACGCAGCTTATAAGTAGCAGAGTTGGAGTAGAATTTCAAGCATTTTGATTCTAAAACCAGTGTTCTGACCCAATGTACTAGACCACCTTTATTATCTCCACTGCTGCCTAAAACATTGTCCTTATCCCTATTTCTGCCTGCAAAATTGCATATGTTCCATCTGTCAAAGTTCAACATAATTTTCATGTTCCTCACCAAGTCTCTCTGATTAACCAAGCTTGATGTTGACCTCCACTAACCACTGTCTCTTATATGTTTTCCAAGCACTATATCAGTTAAATGTTTACAGGATTCAATACATATCAAGAACTAATGTTCTGTACTTATGCTAGAAATATATTGACTGCTTTTAAAACTGACCAGTAATTGTAAAACTTAGTATAAAGAACATTTTATTTCCAGGGAAAACCTAGGAAAAATCAGAAACAAAAAGAACTGAAAGGTGTACTTTGTTTCCACCCCCTCAAAAAGATATAACAAATGATATGCCCTTAGACCAAGGGATACCCTATGTTGGAAGAGTAAAGTGTCTTTTGAAAATTGGACCAACAGGTTGTGACATCAGTGCAACTGTGAACTCCAGATAAAGCTAAATGTGTCCAGGAGGAGTCTTGCTTTCCAATACAGAGTTTCTTGAACTTGAGTACATCAGAATCACCTGAGGGCTTGTTAAAATACAGATTGCTGGACTCCATCCCCAGAGTTTCTGTTCAGTAGGTCTGTAGTGGGGCCTGAGAATTTGCATTCCTAACAAGCTGCCAGGTGGTATCGATGCTGCTAGCTTGAGGACCACAATGATAAACACTATCCCGGAGGAAAGAACCAATAGTCAGCAAGTATAAAATAGTCAGTTTTAGCTAGGGATCTGGAGGAATCTTTTTAAAAGGCATCATTAGTCTGCAACAATGCATGGGCTCTTTCATGAAGAAGAGAACATTCCATGACTAGAAATAAGCAGACATTAAATGACTGCCCATTGAGGATATTGTAAACATGATTACTGCAATAAGCAATGGTGTCCTGGGTCCAATCTACGAAGCCAGGATTGATCCGGCAATATTAGTAGGGTAGGGAGAGGGTCATGGGGTTTTGCCAGGACACAGCCATCAGAAAGAGAAGCGTAGGCACTGAGGCTTGGTATTACCTGGAAGAGAGTTTTAAATTTTACCCACCAAGAGAGAAATGAAAGCAAAGATTAGACTAGGGCTAGGAATAACCAGACGTGCATCTTTCTAGAAAGGATTATGTGGCTCATACTTGAAGGGTAGATAGAAATGAGAAATCAAAACAGAAGGAAGAACAGCAAGGCACTTCAGGATGGTAATCCACAAATGCTGGGCATCCTACAAAGAGGCCCTATTGTACAAGTCTGGTCAAATATTTCCAGATTGGGAGGAGGGGTGGAAACTGGATGATGAAGAGAGATCACTGAGCAGAACAGAACTGTACTGGTATTGCTTCTCAGACCTAGTTGATCATCAGTCACCAAAGGGTAGCTTTCCAAAACCCCAGATCTGAGTCCCAGCGAGTTTAGGGTCAGCAACGGAGGGTCACTGGCAGTAGGCAGAGACAGGAATCTCTAATCCCCAGGAACTGTTGGGTATGGAATTCACTAGCCCTGACAATCACTATCAACATTAATGGTTGGTAGGTATCCCTAAAGCTGTTTCACAACAGGAGACTTGGGCCTTTGCGGTATTAATCCTTAAGCAATTCTATCCAGACCTCTTGATGGGAACAAATTTATTTTTACAGATAGGCCACTGAGCGAACCAAAGCACTTCACTTTTATCTTTTTTCTGCATTGGGCTGCCATGCAGCAATTTCATTCTATTTTCATTAAAAATATTTTGAAAGACTTCTGCTTTTAATACAAATGGTTTGAGAACAGTTGGGTAGAAGCAGGAATGTCAGCCTTTGAGCCTTATGGACCAGGATTTGAATCCCAGCATAACCACTTATATTACAGTAAGCTTGGATGGGTTGCTTAACTTCTCTGAGTTGGTTTCCTTATCTGTATATGGTGAACACGTAGCCACACTTGGAGATGGTTCCGAACTCTTTGAGGTCATGGCTGTATTCCTAGTTCTTGGCCCTTAGTAGTTGCTCATAAACATTTCTGAATGAGCTAATTCATATGTAAGCAGTCTAGCAAAGCCCCTGCTTAATAAAAAGAACTTGATATTATTGCTGCAAATTTTTTTCCTTTCCTTTTTCTTTTATCATGCTCAAAATAACACATGTATTTGCACCTCAAATTTTAGAAAAATAATCATTTGAGGACGTATGGGATTTATGCAGGGTACAATTGAGAGGTGACCAAAGGGACTTTATTTTGACCTGTAACTTTTATAATTTTTGTAAGGAAAATATATTCACATATTATTTTTCACTTCAGGGAAAAAAATAGAAAAAATTAAAGTAGTAGACCCAAAGTCTGTCTGATGTCATCCCACAAATGATCTGTCAATAAGCTAAGGGGTTCTTATTTGATTTTTCTTGTAATTTCTGTAAGAAAATTGTAATATTTTGTAACTCTTATAATACTGGACTTATAAGTCTGCATATACACACCCACACACACTCCAGACCCTCAGCTTTCCATCTAATTAGTGTATTTCCCTTCCTATTAGACAAACTTATGCCTTGAACTACATAACCCTTTTCTGCTAAGATATACATATATCTCTTCTTATTCAACAGTTGCCCCATTCTCTGTCATCTAAACCCCATATCTTATCATGTTGAGAACAATTCTGATTCATTTAAGCCTTTTATGTTATCTCATGAAGGATTCTTGTTACCACATCTCTTTTTTTCTGTGGTGAACACAGAATGTGGTACTGTTTGCAGCCTGAGCATAGAGTGACCCCTTGACCCTTCGCTGTCCCGGAGCTCCCCATCTGACAGCTCTCCCGCAGGTTTCTGCTAGGCTGGCAGGACCCTCCAGGTTGGGCCTCACTAGACCTAGGGGTCTCTTCCAGCCATGTGTAGACTTCTCAGTTCCTCTAGTGGACGATAAACTCCTTGGGAGTGGAGCCTAAGCCTTTGAACTCTTTCTTTCCCAACTGTGCCCTGGTGATATGGGAAATGTTCCTATTGAATGAATAAAACTGGAGTTTTGATCTTGTATTCTATTTTAATTGACTCAGTCACTAATTTTTATCTACAAAAAATGAAGTTATGGGCAAGAAACCACAACTTCCCATTTTTGTAACAAGTTATTTCCAATTGTCTAGCTATTTTTCAAGGTTATCTGTAACTTCTGATCAAGTTTTTTAAATGTGAATGTTCTAACTTCTCGTGGTTTTGTGCTCAAACCTGTCCTGAGTTCCTGTCTGAATGCCCTTCATTTTCCCCATCTATTAGTTTGGTTAAAGACATCTTTAGCTTCTGTTCTTGCAGAATATATTGATTTTATAGCTCATTGGATGTAAGTATTGGAGAAATTTCAGCATCTCATCCAGAGGCTTTGGTTTTGGTTTTGGTATTGATTAGAAAAGACCACTGGCTTTGGGAAGACCTGGGTTTGAATCCTGCATCAACTGTTTAGTATTTGTATGGCTGTGGACTAATTATGTCACTTTTCTAAGCCATATTTTCTCATTCATAATATTAAAAGAAAAAAACTGCTCATATGTAATAATTATGAGGCTCAAATGTGAAAGTGATGTTAAGGACTTAGTCATAGCCAGCCCACAGATAGTGCCTAATAAATAGTATCTATTATTATTATCAAGGTGGATAATGTGGACTTTATTCATTCATCTGTTCATCCATTCATCCAGTTGGTATAGTGCACCTAATATACAGCACAGCCACTTCCCTAAGCCCCACAGGAAAACCAAAATGATTGAGACATCTTCCTGCTTTTACTAAATGAACATATATGTGTGTGGGTGTGTGTTTGAGGACACACACACATGACTCCTTTCAGATTCCTGCACCCAATTCCAGTGCATGTGTGCCTTCCCATGCACACCACAAAGCAATTCTCAAATAGGGTGTCCGAGTGCTTAACTCAATTCTGACGCTCTCTGCCCAGAGACGACACCAGAATCCCCAGGTGAAAGACTCTGTCCTACAACACTGCTCTCCACCCACCACTCCAGATGCCAGTCACAAGCCACAGGCTGTTCCTTGTGCTTCTGACCAAACAGCTACAAAATGGAGATTCCAACAACCTCCCCCTTACGTTTGATTAATTTGCTAGAGAGGCTCACAGAGCTCAGGAAAACTTGTTTGACAATGTCTTTAACTATGCAAACCATGGTGATGTAAATTATAATACCGGCAGTATCCAGGCTTTTTTGCATTAATCATTTAACCAACAAGTTCTTATTAATATTCTCAATACTCAATACGCTGAAGGACTCAGAAGTACTGTACACAAAGCAGTCCTTATAAGAAATTTCTATGGGGCTATAGTTCATATGTAACAAAAAAGGGCTATATATAATTAGGATATCAACGTAGACAATTGTGGACTACAAATCAGTGATTCTTTGCCTACTCTCAGCTCACACACATCCAAGGGCCTAAGATTCCTGGGGACACTCTGGTTAATCATGGTTGTGCCAACATCTACTTTACCCCTACCACTCTTGCTCAACAGGATTGAATGAGCAGATGTAATGTAAAAACAGAGATAGCTCTGAACTCAATCTTTTTTTGCATATTCAGCAATTTCAGCCTTTTCACTGCTATCAGGTACAAAGGATTTGGCTGAGCTTGAGAAACAGAGTCAGGAAAGGGTCATGAGCTCAAATGCCTGCAGGGAGAGGTGAGCTGAATCTGAGAACCCACAGGGAGCCTTTGGTGACAGCCTGGACGCACAGGATTGCACCTGTCTTGTCAATGGGACTGTGCTCACATCGTTGTAGCGAATCACAGAACCTGCATTGCCAGCTCTTCTGGTGTCTCAAAAAACACAGACACCTGCAATTTTATGTGAAATCTCTGGATTTTAATGTTGATTCAAACAATTTAAAACAGTATGAGACAAATCTAACACTGCACTTGGTAAGACCTACAAGCTGTCAGTTTATGAACAAACTTACAGACCAAGCTTTTTTGATTGTATACATTGTCAGTACGAAAAAGTTCAACATGTAATTCAGAATATAACTTATCAATGATAAATGCATACTTAGCATATACAAATTCAATGTTAATAAGGCCTTCTTTCTTTTAGCAAAAAAGTAAATCTAAACAGATGTTCTCCCATTTCCCTTCTTCCCCCACAGTGTAGTGCCATGGGGATCACTGGCTGGACTCTGCAGGCCGTAGAAGCTTGGAGGAGAGGTCGTGGAACCCAGAGAAGTGAAAAGTGAGCCTCTCCTTTCACATCTGACTTCCTAGTTCCCTTCCCCAAGCAGCCACTATAAAGAGTTGGGTTTTTTTTTTCCTGTGTATGTTTTTCATTATTTATTAATCTATTCAAAAGAAATTCATTAATAGCTACTATGCACCAGGCCCTGTTTTAGGTGTTTGGAGATGAATACAAAAAGCAAAACAGACAAATATGGCTTCTTTGATGGGACTTTACATTCTGTTGGGGAGACAGCTAATAAACAATTAAGTATATAATTAAGTGGCAAGGAATGATAAGTCCTATGAAGTAAAATAAATCAAGGTGAGGTGATAAACAGTGGTAGGTGGTGTGTGGGGAGGGAAGGGGCAGAGAGAGGGACTAGGAAAGGTCTCTCTGAGGAGATGACATTTGGGTAAAGAGAGATCTGAGTGAGAGGCTAGCTTCAAAGTGTCAGGAAAAGCCCTCTAGGCAGAGAGGCCATGCATTGCAAAGACCCTGAGGAAAGAATGAACTAGAACAAGATGAGCATGAGGCCAGAACCAGATCACATGGAGCTGTGGAGCCCTGGTGAGGAAGATGGTTTTATTCCACCTGTTGAAAGAAAAAACTTTAAGGGTTCTGAACAGAGGGGTGCTATAACTTAATATTGCTTTTAACTAGATTCCTTGGGCTGCCGTGTGGAGGCTAAACTGCAGGATGGAAGCAGGGAGGCCAGTCATGTAATGAGAAGACAACTGACCTCATGCAGGCAAAGGTGATGGCTTTCCTTTGAAAGAGCAATGGAGGGCTGGGATGTGGCTGGAATTGGGATTTATTTGGAAGGTAGCCTCAACAGAGTTTGCTGATGAATTATTCTATGCAGATCAAGTATGTATTTATAGTTGCCACTCCCTCCATTTTTAAAATATAAGTGATAGCTTACTATACAAATTATTCTGCATCTTGCTTTTTGTCACTTAATTATTAGACAGATTATTGCATAGCAGTCTGGATTAAAGACACCCATCACTACTTTTCTGTCTTTTTTCTTTTGCTTTATATTTGTATTCAAGTTAACATGCACATAGTTTGAAGACAAGTATTTCCTTAAGATTTACTGTGAAGCACATCACGTCCTCATCCCCTCATTTATCATTTCCTCCTTTTCAGAGGCAACAGTTATACCTCTTTTACCAGTTTTGGTATTTGTGTCCATTTTTCTAGATAATATTCTTCCATTGTTCCTTCTTGACTTTCTGGTTTTAGGCATGATCTTTTGATTTTTCCACTTAGGAAGAGGGAGGAGAGAAGGGGTTTCCTTCCACTCTCTTTTACCCTGTCTGCCTCACTATCTGTACCCACTTTTTGCACCTCATTTTCCCCCTGAAATGGCCAACTTGTAATTTTGGCTAGTTCAATATTTAGTGTTAACTGGCTGATTTATGATTAAATAAACACTAATTACCACTAAGTTTGTTGTAAACTATGGTTATTATTTTTATTTGCCAAACAATATTTTGTTATCATGAGTTAATAATTGCCTATTTTTTATATTTGCTTAGTTATCTTTATATTTATAATGAATTCAACACTAAACACTTTGATAATTTTCTAAATCTTCTCTCAACATGTTCTTCTCTCAACACATCAGGTACATTTTACCAACTTCATCTTCTTAAATAATTTTCTTCTGGAAACTTCTGATAAGTTCTATGGTATACTGCTTACTAAAATGGCCAGCAAACTTCCCTTTCTTGTATCCATGCTTCCTTGCTCTGTGACTTTGAGTACACTTTCCACTTTGATTCTAAACTTAACCACATGATTTGCTTTGGCCAACAGAATGTTAGCAAACATAACACAGCAGAGGTTTGAAAAGTCCTGTGATTTGGGTTCTTGGAGCCCAGCTGCCATGTGCAGAGCAAGGTTCACCTGCTGGTTTAGGAGAGAAACATAGCTCAGACATCACAGTGGCCTCCCAGCCACTACTAAGTCATCTGTCAGACATGTGAGTACTGCCACCTGGAACCAGTCATCCCCAGCTCAACTGCAAACTGACCACAGACAAAACAAGTAAGCTCAACTGAGATCAGCCAGAAGAACTGCCCAGGAAATGCAAGCTAAAGATGGCTATGTTAAGCCACTGCATTTTGGGTTGATGCATTATGCACCACTAGATAGTTGATGCAAGGTGCAATGTGAGCTGGTTTGCTCTGGGGCATGACTACTATCCTGGGACTCTCTACATCATCATCCTGGGGGCTTTACTTTTTGTGTATATTGGATATCTTGTTCCCAGTAACCCACACCTCTCTCTTGCTTGGTTTCATCTCTTGCCTGGTGACTAACCAAGAAAAGGTATATGAGAAGTAAATTGTTTAAGATCTTGAATGTTTGAAAATGTCTTTTGAAAAATTCTCATATACAATGAGAATTGGTTGGTATAGAATTCTAGCTTGTTAATTATTTTCTTTCAGAATTTTGGAAGTCTTTCTCAATTGCTTTGTAGCTTTAATGCAGCTGTTCATAAGTTAAAAATTAATCTAGGTCAAAGGTTGATAAGACCACCAGTCAGTATCTTAAAGGACAAAGCTAAATTTACTGCTCTTCAGAGTAAGAGAGACCTTTGCTGCTCAGGCACAGCCTCTCCAAGCAGAGAAGATTGCTGAGCTTGACTAGTTTTGGGGAAGCTTGGGGTGTAGGAACTTTCAGAGGCTTTAGTTAGTTGCTATCATCTGTAGAATTGCAGTCCCTTGGGTGTGTATATTGGAGTAAGTTCATCTTTGACTGGCTGACATCAGGACTCGTGCTGATTGGTTGGCTCACAAAGGCAAGTTCAGGAAAGGAAGTTGCCTTTGATTGACTGAGTTTGAAACCAGTTTTAATGGCCACTTATTACCATGACTATAGAGTATAGCCTTCACCTAAGTTTTTGAGAACATTTTTATTCTTGCTAATTACTGATCCTATGTATGTGATCTGATATTTTTTCTCCTTGATATAGTCTTGCAGGATCTTCTCTTTGTCTTTAGTGTTTGAAATTTCACAGTGTTGGTGCACTGGCCTCTGTTTTTCCTTGGTAAATGTTTTAGTCTGGAAACTCAAATCATTAACATTTTCTCCTCCTCACTTTCCCTATTTTCTCTTTCTGTTTTTTTTTTAATGTTAATATCCTTTGATGAATTTCCTAATCATCTTTAGTTCTTTATCTCCCATTTTCCAACTCCTTTTCTTTTTGCTGATAGAATTTCTCAACTTCACATCCCAAACTTTCTCTTGAAACTTTTTGTTTTTGCTATTGTTTTTAATTTCCAAGACCTTCTTTATGTTTTGGGGACACTCTATTTATTTACTTGTTTATTTGGGGGTAGAATCCTTTTCTCATTTCATGAGTTTTGACATTTATTTTTATTTCTTCATGGGTTTTGATGTTTATTTTTATTTCTTCAAAAATCCTTTTTTTGTTTTGCTTTATTCTCTATCTTCTAGGTTAAAGGCTTTCCTCAGGTATCTCTTAGTCTCTGTATCTGACAATACTTTTTTTCTTTTGATATCATTAATGTACAATTACTTGAACAACATTATGGTTACTAGACTCCCCCCTATTATCAAGTCCCCCCACATACCCCATTACAGTCACTGTCTATCAGCATAGTAAGATGCTATAGAATCATTACTTGTCTTCTCTGTATATACTGCTTTCCCCATGTCCCCACCCCCCTACATTATGTGTGCTAATCAGAATGCCCTATTTTCCCCTTATCCCTGCCTTCCCACCCATCCTTCCCAGTCCCTTTCCCTTTGGTAACTGTTAGTCCATTCTTGGGTTCTGTGAGTCTGCTGCTGTTTTGTTCCTTCAGTTTTTTCTTTGTTCTTATACTCCACATATGAGTGAAATCATTTGATACTTGTCTTTCTCTGCCTGGCTTATTTCACTGAGCATAACACCCTCTAGTTCCATCCATGTTGTTGCAAATGGTAGAATTTGTTTTCTTCTTATGGCTGAATAATATTCCATTGTGTATATGTACCACATCTTCTTTATCCATTCATCTACTGATGGACACTTAGGTTGCTTCCAATTCTTGGCTATTGTAAATACTGCTGCGATTAACATAGGGGTGCATATGTCTTTTTCAAACTGGGCTGCTGCATTCTTAGGGTAAATTCCTAAGAGTGGAATTTTGGGGTCAAATGGTATTTCTATTTTGAGTTTTTTGAGGAATATCCATACTGCTTTCCACAATGGTTGAACTAATTTACATTCCCACCAGCAGTGTAGGAGGGTTCCCCTTTCTCCACATCCTCACCAGCATTTGTTGTTGTTTGTCTTTTGGATGGTGGCGATCCTTACTGGTGTGAGGTGATATCTCATTGTGGTTTTAATTTGCATTTCCCTGATGATTAGCGGTGTGGAGCATCTTTTCAGGTCTCTGTTGGCCATCTGAATTTCTTCTTTGGAGAAGTGTCTGTTCAAATCCTCTGCCCATTTTTTAATTGGATTATTTGCTTTTTATTTGTTGAGGTGTATGAGCTCTTTATATATTTTGGATGTGAACCCTTTATCAGATCTGTCATTTATGAATATATTCTCCCATACTGTAGGATGCCTTTTTGTTCTACTGATGGTATCCTTTGCTGTACAGAAGCTTTTTAGTTTGATATAGTCCCACTTGTTCATTTTTGCTTTTGTTTCCCTTGCCCAGGTGTATATAACAGTATTTAAGGGTGAAATTATGAAACACTGGCTACAAGCTCTGAAGAGATGAGAGACAGGCTGGTCTGATGTGAGCTTTACTATAGAGGCATCAGGGTGGGCTTGCTAAGGAGGGACTTCTGACGTCAGTGTCTTTCCACTGTCATGTCTTTCATCATGGATTAATCTTATTTCCCAGAAGACTCTTCCAGTCTTCCAGTGTCCTGCAAGGAGGGTGAATGTCTAGCTTTCAGTGTCTTGGACTCAGAACAGAGAAAGACAGATGAGGCATGTTTTATCTCTAAAGCTAATACACATACAATCATTTAATCTCCTATTGTTAGCACAGTTTCCTCATCCTCAGCCATACTGCTTTTCCTCCATGCAGAACATCTATTTTCCTTCATTCTGAAAATAAGCCATCATTCTGGATGTTCAGGAAGGGACAGTTTCAGGGATGTTGCACATCTCTGGGGAGAAGCCTTTCTTCTAAAACAGACTTCCCAACAATCCTCCTCTGTAAGTCCATACCCCTTTTACCCTTACGTCCACGAGGACCAGCTACCATTAGTTTCTAAGTCTGGATGTTCTGTAAATCAGATTAGTTATTAGCTTTCTCTACTACTTGTTGGATTCAATTTTTTTAGCTCTGCTTATTCTATCATTATGTGTTCATCTGCTTTCCAGCCTCCAAAATGATCTCTTCTTCAGCTCTCTCTATTCATGGAATTTAAGCTTTAAAATATCCCTTCATTGGCTGTGTTTACAGGGTTTCAGGAAGGCAAGAAGGTAGAAATGCATGTTAAATCCCCCATCTTTATACAGAACGTGCATTTCATTTTCTATTTATGTGAAGTATGTTAATGGATTCATAATTGAATTTAGTTTATAATTTATTTGCGTTAGAGCTAAAACTGTTTATGAAAGATGGCTCCAATTACAATAAGCTTAAAGCAATGCTTTCCTCTTTAACAATACAGAAAAGAAAAAATAATTTGACACTAACCCAGTGAAGGGGGACACGTAATTATAAATCAAGACTAATATGCCTGGCAATATTCTTTCCACGCATTTGTATGCCCTTGCTAAAATGCATATTGCTTAAGAACATTAATAAGAAAATTCCTATGTCTGTGCAGGCTTGTGGGAGAAGTGTAGTCATGCATAATATTACACTAAAATCTGCCAAGACCATGTATGCTGTGAAATTCATAATTTTAGTTTTCATTCCACACAGTGACACAAAGCTGGAAACATATGTGTTCATGAATCTTTGTCAAT